TAGAAGCTACAACCTTGACCCTTTGAGACAACTACGAGTACTAGACCTGACTGGGACTCCTACTTGACAGGTCTACAGATCGAATCCCTGCTACTTGTGGACCCTACGACAACCTACCAACTGTTACAAATGCACAGGTCACGGGTTCAACTCTAGGGGTTGACACAAATACTGTACACAGTTAAGGTGGGGACTAGGGATCGAGCCTTGGGATCTGCATCAGCTACTACGAACTGGTGAATACCGTTTCACTGCCGCCGGCCTAAATTCGAGGTCCTCCGAGAATAACTAAGTCCAAGGCAGGACCTTTACCTCTCTGATCTCTTTCATAGGCTCTAACTATAGCGGGAGCTGTCTCTAGAAGTTCTGCTCTAGTGAACCAGCGGTCATCCTCCGGCTCCTGGTAAGCAAACCGGTATTGCTTTTGAGGACGGCCTCGACCTCCTGTTCTGAAGACATCTTCACCTACTATGCCGTCAATGTCGTATCTTCCGTCCATGTTTGGAGGGATCATGGACCATCTAGATGAAAATTGTTGACTTGTGACACACGGCAACAACTTTGATGCATGAAACACAGGGTAGGTGTGGAGGTGTGTTGGGATCTCTATAGTATAGGACGACCCATCCTCTCTGCCCTTAACTTCTAGAACTGGCCACGGTCCTCTATACGTGGGCAATAACTTTTGCAAGATGTTCTCCTCAGGCGGAAATTCTTTAGATTTGACCCAGACCAGGTCGCCTACCTGAAACTGCGATGGGCGACGGTGCTTATTAGCTTGTTCGATCATTCGGTGCTTGGCCTTCCTGAGGTTCTCAACAACAGTGGCCATCTCTTTTTCATGTTGTATCGCAAACTCCCTGGTACCGGGCGAGAGCCTATGAATCTGATCCCGTTTAAGTCCCTCAAACAGTCTACATGGTCTTAAGGACTTGTGCAACTCGTTGGGAGTGCGACAGGTGGACAAATGCACGCTGTTATTGTATGCACTGGCTACCTTGGGTAACATCTCGTCCCAATTAGTCTGATCGGGTCTAATATGCATGCGCAAAACTTGCTGCAGTATCTTGTTCATCTGCTTTGTCTGACCGTTAGTCTCTGGATGGCGGCCAAATGACATCAACAACTTTGACCCATAGACTCTCATGAGTTCCTGCCAGTTCTGGATGGTGAAGCGACTATCTCTATTGCTAACTATGGACAATGGGATTCCATGCTCACTAACCCAAAAATCGAAAAACTTCTGGATCACTAACTCTGTACGGGCCTCTGCAGGCAAAGGAACAAAAAGAGCATACTTGCTAAATCTATCGACTACAACCATGATTTGGCTCTTGTCGTGCCTACTCTTGACGCCGGCGTCCATAAAGTCGATGGACACTGAATCTCCTGGCTGATCAGGAATAGGCAAGGGTCTGAGAAGACCTAGAGGGGCACATGTAGTAGTCTTGTTCCTTTGATAGACTTTACAACTGCGGACATACTCTATGCAGTCGTTTTTCATTCCTGACCATGTATACACGTGCATGAGATTGACCAAAGTCTTTTGCCAACCGAAATGTCCCTCTGTATCATGGCATTCCCCTAGGATCAGACTGCGGATCTCCTCACTGTTGGGAACGCATAGGCGGTCTACTACATTAGTCTTCTCAAATAATAACCCCTCTGTAGTGCGGTAATCTGGCTCGGTCTCTGGGGCCTCCTTAACTTTCTTGAGGAGGTCACTATAGATAGGGTCCTGCGCATAAGCCTGTCTTTCTCTTGCAGGTCACTCCCTATGTCCAGATAGTGAACTATAGCTCCAAAGTAGTCTGATCTCCTACTCAGAGCATCCGCAACTACATTGTACTTGCCCTTAACAGGCTTGAGCTCGAAGTCATACTGGTCTATCTCAGTGGCCCACCTAGTCAACTTAGGTGTCATCTTGGCCTGTGTCTTCAACCATCTAAGAGTCTCGTGGTCGAAGTACACTTTGAAGTGCCTCCCAAGCAGGTAATGCTTCCAGTGCTCTAAAGCCTGCCTGAGAGCGTAGAGTTCTCTTTCGTACATCGAGGTAGCAACCTTTTCTGAGGGCATCCTTGCTGACATGAACTCTACGGGTTTATAGCCATTGTCGTCATCCTGCTGCAACATGGCGCCTATTCCATACTGACTCGCATCCGTGGTGACGACAAATGGCAAAGACGGATCTGCTACTTTGAGGACAGGGTACTCTATCAACGCACACTTTAACTTCTTTAGCACAAACATACAGTCTATATCCCACTGCCAGAGCAACCTGCGAAGGGGAGCGGCGATAGTGGAGAAGTTCCTCACGAACTTCCTATAGTAATTAGCTAGGCCTAGGAACGATCGCAGCTCTGTCAACGTGCGGGGCGTTGGCCAGTCTCTAATTGCCGCTATCTTGCTATCCTCTGGCTTAATGCCATCTCCGTCTAATACGTGGCCCAAGTACAGGACTTGTGTCTTGGCCCACTCGCAGGCTTAGCTTCTCAAATAACCCTGGTGCTCTTGGAGGGTCCTACTGAATACTACGATATCGTATAGATATACTACGACGAATCTATCCACCAAGGCCTAAACAAATCGTTCATACACCGCTGAAATGTCGTTGGCGCATTGGTCAGTCCAAAGGGCATCGCTATGAACTCATAATGCCCATAATGAGTCCGGAACGCAGTCTTGTACTGGTCATCAAGATGGACCTCTATTTGATGATACCCGTACTTCAAATCTATCTTTGAGAAATACTTACAACCCTGCACCCGGCCTAAGAGATCGTCTATCCTGGGCAGTGGTTCAATATTCTTGATTGTGATAGCATTCAGAACCCTATAGTCTATACACATGTGCAACTCTCCTTCCTTCTTGGGGACAAACAAAACTGGTGCTCCAAAAGGAGACGAACTGGGCCTAATCCAACCTTTCTCAAGGAGCTCGTCTAGTTGCTTGCACAGCTCCTCTAACTCTCTGGGGGACATCCTGTAGACTGCTCCCTTAGGAGTTCTACTGCCAGGCTCTATCTCTATCCTGTGCTGGATCGGCCGCGACACTACTCCTGTCGGGGGCTCAGCTAAGTCTTTAAACTTTTCCAACAACTTGCAATGGTTGGATTTGTGGAACTATCCTCCTGCTTAGGCTCAGTGACAGGCCTTATATACACTACGAAGACCTGATCCTCTAATTGCTCCTTTCTCACTAATCGCGCGAACGCGGGAGCACTGAGGCAGCAATGCGCCAGTGAGTTATCTACTCCTGACACATGAAACAGACAGGTTGTCTTAACCTCGCTTGACGGACTAGGGAGCCTACACTCATGCTCTCTCAAGTGGAGTGTGGCCCCTGCTGCCTCTCCCCAGTCCATGCCTAGGACTATGTCAAACAGAAGGTCATCCTGTACGAGGAGAGTCAGGGAATGGAGAACTTTATCCACCTTCCCATCTTTCTATAGGCGAAAGTACGCCTGGACTCCCTCTACGTAGTCCTCAACACGCATAGTGAGGTTGTCTGCGAGGACACTAACTATGGGGTCTGCTAACTTTTGGACTTTCAATCCTAGCCTCAACTCTTTCAGCGCTCTATGACTAATGTAACTGTGGGTGGCCCCTGAATCTATAAGGGCCTCTACTCTACTCCTGAACACTCCTACATCCTCTAACACTAGCTGCCCTTTATTGTCTTTCTTCATTTTGGCCCAAACTGGCATCCTCTCCTTTAACTCTTCTGCCACGCCTGTGAGGGAAGTGCCTAGAGAGACGCTAACACAAGCAGTCTCTGGACAGCTAACTAGGCACGAGCCTGCAACCTCTGCCGAAGGCACATGTGGTGTGGGAGTTTCCTGTACGTGCGTGCTTGCTTCCCCACATGGCCTAGTAGTAGGGGCAGTTGCGACCCCTACACGCGACTGCCTTTTGACTCTTGGGCAGCCTAACGGGCCTGTCTATACTTAGGACAATATTTTATGATTTGGGTAGGGTCACGGCAGTAAATGCACTGCCCCTGCTCCATTCGCTGCTGCCACACTTTCTGGTCCAGGCCCAAGTCTTCCCAAGGCTGGCCTTGTGGCCAACCCGGGTGCCAACCTCCTGACCTTTGAGGTGACCTGCCACCTCGTCGCTGTGAGGACCGACTGGGACCTTGACAATTCGGCGGGGGACCTTGACCCCTACCTCCCACTTGACGGTTCCCTTGACCGCAAACCCCCTGTGCGCCTGATCCTCGGCCTCCCATGGCCTGGCCCCTTTGGCCCTGGCCTCCTCCTCTACCTTGCGGCCTCCCTCCAGCCGCGACAGCAGCATAGGACGTCCCATGTCCTACGCTATTGTCCTCCTCCTCGAGGCCCCACTCATTCTAACTGTAAGGGACCTCGTCTGTACCACCTTCGTCTAAAGTGAGGATCAAATGATCCTTGGCCCTAACTTGGCCAGAGATGGTACGACCTTTCCACTTCTTTCCCTTATCTAAGTCCTTGTGCCAGAAAGTGGAAACTGACATGGACTTGGCCTCAAACAAGACCACTTCCCTACTCAACGTGTCATACGTGATATTGGGCTGCTGGGTCTTGTCAAAAAAGTGCCCTCGCAAGGGCTCCGACATGGCGCGATATAACAACTGGACCAACTGGGTCTCTGTGACCCCATGGTCCGTGACGGCTACCAAGTCGTCCATGACAGCTTTGACTGCTTTCACACTTCTCCACTGTCGCGAGTGAATGGTTTGAAGCTTATCAGAGGCCCTAACGCCTCTCGTGGGATCGACAAATCGCTCCCTCAGGAGTTTGAGGAACTGGGGAAGTGAGGTGGTCTTAGAGTATGCAACCATGTTGTTTTCACATCCGGCCGCGCGCGCAAGGGACCTGGCAAAACTAGCTGCTTCATCTTTCAAGGCCTGGAAGGCTACGAGGACCTGTTCTTCAGACAAGATGTGTTGTAAGTACACATAACTGTTAACACTAGCCTCTGAATTATCAAAATTTTCCTCCTCCTCCTCGCCATACGTGTCAGGAAACTTGAGCTTTACTGGCTCCTTGCGGGGACGTGCGTCGTCTTCTGCCGTAGCCACAACTTTGGCGCCCTCAATGGCGCCGACACAAAACTTCTCTGCACCTTCCTTCAACTTTTTGACTTCAGTCCCGACGTGGGTTACCACGTCACGCGCGAGCTCTCTAAACCCAGATCGGATGGCGTGCAAGGTCACATCTTGACCCTTGACGGCCTGATGTTCTTCTACCTAGGCCTTGCTGAAAATCTCTAGGTACTCCAAAATCTTATCTAATTTGGCGGGGACCTCGACTTGTGCCTGCACCTCCTCTCTACAAGCTTGAACCCTCTCTACTTCTTTTGCCACCCTGTTGGCCTCCTCTCTCCTCCTCTTCTTTTCCCTCATCATTCGCAGTTTCCACTCCAACTTCTTCTCGTCTTCTGTTGTTTGGCGTTCTAGGGGATCTCCTATCGTCTCCAACTCCCTGGCGAACGCTTCTCTTTCCTCCTGCGACACATACAATTGTGCCTCCTCATCTTCCCCTAACGATAAATTAGCCACCCACTCGCTTATCTTCTTCTCCATCCATGCATATTCCCCTTTCGTGCCATTTGTCTCCCCTTTCTCTTCTCCACGTCTTCTTTCAAGGGGCTCTTCTTCTTCTTCTTCCTCCTCCTCTGCTGCTGCTTCTTCTTCGACAGCCTTCCTCCTCTCTTCTTCCTCTCGCTCTAACAACATCATCTTCTCCTTCTGAAATCTTAACATATCTTCCTCTAATCTCTTCTTCTTCGCCGCCTGCTCCTCTGCAATAGCCTTTAACTTCGCCCGCTTCAGGAGCTCCTTCTTCTCTTTCCTCTCCCTCAGGATGGCGGCAATTCGGGCCTGCTCAGCCTGGGATTGGGGAGCAGTACTCTTCCCACTACGGGTGTCGACCATGGTGATTGGTGCACAACCAGACAACGGTTCCACTCCTCACCACTTAGACTCTACTCCCCCTGACTGACACACCCACTGACTCAATCTAAAGACTTACAGAATCCGGTCAGGATCCTGTCAACTAGGATCTCTAGCCTAGACCTACTCTAAGGCTGTCACTACAGGACCTGTTGCTGATCACGAGGCATTTAAGGAGATCCCCCGTAACTCCTCAAGAATTATTTAACGTCGCAGACAGGACAATGCGATCAACAGGTCTTCTCAACACTTAGACGGCCTGTTGTGCAGCCCACAGCTCGGATTTTGGGCCTATCGTGCCACATCGAGCAGCCCGCCGGTCAGTACTGGTCCTTGGGAGGGTTTGTGTCCTCCGGGACAGTCGAGTCGTCAGACAGAGTCTTTAGCCCTACTCAGCCCGTGTGGGTTTGGTCAACAAGGCCCTATCCTTCATCCACAGAGTTCCTAACACCTGGACAGAAGAGACTCAATGCAGAAAGAAGAGACAGACAGACTTGACTTAGCAAGTACCACAGGGTGTGTGCACATCCATAGGGCGAGGGAATAGGCTGAAGGCTTGGCGAGATTATACCGGCTCCAGCTTGGTCACACTCGTGGTCAATGGCCTTGGTCAACGCCTTCGTCAACGCTGCAGTCAACCCCCGGTCAACTCTGGTCAACACCTGTCAACACCTGTCAACACCTTCGGTCAACTCCTGGTCAACGCCGGTCAACTCCCGGTCAACTCCCGGTCAACTCCGGCTATGGCGGTCGGCTTCACCTTCGTCGCCACCCTTCTCCTTCCTTTCTCCCTACCTCGCCTCCTTTCTCTTCAACCCTGCTATCTTCTTTCTCTCTTTTTTTTTTTTTTTTTTTTTTTTTTTCGTCTCTCCCCTCTCCTCCTCGGCTATGGCTTCCTTTGCCCTTCTCGGTCTCCTCCCCTGTCCTCTCTTTCACCCTCTTTCGTTTCTCTGTGGCCGAGCTCCGCGGCTATGGCCGCCTCCTTCTTCCTCGTGGAACTGCACGGCACACTTCACAGGTAAGTGGCAACCAAACTTGTATTGCTCATCTCTCTCTCTCTCTCTCTCTCTCTCTCTCTCTCTC